CCCCGCTGCCCCCGGGGGCCCCTCGCCTGCCTCTTCACCTCACGGTGTTTCCCCCCGATTCTTTAAATTCCGTTTAAACCCGAGACTGTGAGTGCTGGATAACATGTCTGCCCACTCTCTCCTTTGCGAGCAGGTCCGGCTGAGGGATTTTATGCGCAAAAGAGAACGAGGAGAACTTTTAATACAGAAAATAAACAAACTTCAAGATAATCTTTTAAAGAAGGTAATTTTTTAAGAAGGTTATGCCAATCCTCTATGACTCCACATAGAATGGCATAGCCGTTATCAGTGTTCTTTTATGCATTAAGAATGCTATGGATTAGCATTTTATATGCTAAAAGACTTCTGATATTAGGTTCAGATAATTCTGCTAAAATTTATGTATATTTTAATTTAGATACAGCTGTCGGTATCTAAGGATGGATTTCTTCATTTTGGAGACACCGTGATGCTTTTGAACCCAGACAACAAATCCTCAGCGGAGAATTACCCTGGAGCGTGCGGCAGTCTGACTCTGGCAATTAATCTGGATGAAATATCCATGTATTCGGCCAAATCAGTGCAAGCCCCTCGTGGAGTTAGCGCAGTCGAGAGTGTGGACCCTGTGGGTCGAAATACTTTTTGTATTTCAAGGTTTGGTACTTTATTCTGAGTTGTTTTCAACCATTATGTTAGCTTTCAGTATCTTGTTTTGAGAAACGTGCAATGGAGTTTGCCAATATACAAATGAATTTGAGTAAGATTAGTTTATTTAAAAGAAAGATACTTACCTTGGGTGATGCATTAAGCTTGATTCTGCTCCGCATATTACTGTGAACAATTCCAAGGAAGTTGAAATCAGCTTAGAACTGGTGTGAAAACAGAATCGAGTTCACCGTATCATTTGGTAAACTCTGCAGCTGTTTTTCACGCGGTCATATTTCAGCTGTAGAATACAAAACATGTCCAAAAAGCCCTTAGTATTATTATTCGTTCTCCTGCAAATAAGGTCTCTGAAGCAGAAATTTGTGTCAATGCTTTTGCTGTACATGAAGTGGACAATGTTTCTGTGGTCCTAAAAAAACCCCTAAGCAAACAGCATATTCTCTCTCTCAAAAACATATTTAATTCCAGCTGTTTGTGGGAGAAGAAACAGAACAGGTTCCTGCTCAACAGTGGAAGGCTCTGCCTGAGTGCATGTATTTAACAATAATAATAGTGCATAAGAGTACAAACTAACCCATATAATCCTGATTGAGCAAAACACTGGGTTAGACCTAAGAAAGAATTTTGATGCCAAGAGCATAATTTAGGCCTTCTAGAAATGCAACCAAAATATTTTTGCTTAGCTGCTGTCTGATCTTACAGTCGCTGGCACTGAATGCTATCAAGTCCCTCATTAACTGACTACTAAGTTCATCAGCTGCATAAGTTTTTTTTACGCTGAATATACTTAGAAAGCCTAGCACTTAATTTAGTCATTCTTTAATGTAAAATACAGAAATCGTTCTGGAAATAGGGATATACCAGCACGTATGTTGATGTAATGAACCAAATTATTGAATATCAGTTACATATCTTATTAGCAACATATGTTAAGTTACAGACAAACACAAACACAGACTGTTCTGCTTTTAGTCTGTGATTTTTCAGATGCTTGTATTAAGTATATTTTAAAGGGGGCCTCAGTGCTCAATTCCCATTGATTTTCCATTGGATGTTACTTTTCCACCCCACATGTTAATGAATACGTCATAAAAAGTAATCAATGAAGTCTATTTCTATTCTGCCAAATATTTTAACCAGTAAGTCAAGTATGAAATGTCTTTTCAGTTAAGATATTTTACCTATTTTTAAAGGTAAACTTAATACAAAGCGTTGCCACAAGACCTAACTATAGAACAAAACAAAACTAAAAAGAATAGTAAAGCTGATTATTTGAATGTCTCTTTCTTCCTTTTTACGATTTTAACAGGGTTGATGGAGGTGCAGTGGGTGAACCGATTAGATTTGGGCAAAACTTTGGTCTTGGGACAACAGGAGGGTTTTCTGACCAAATGGTAAGGCAGTAAAGTTGCAATGAAAGCATATACTGATAGTGTGCATTTAATTACTATATATATATATATAAAGCTGTACAGTGGTTCAACATCTTAGCTTTACAGAGCAGATTCAGAATCATACGTAGATCAAGATAAGCAATACCTATTTAGAAAGTTTGTGCAACTTGCCTGAGATCAGGTGTGCAGGCCAAGGGGGCTGTCAGCCAGAATGACTGGATAAAGGAGATTTTAAAAAAAAAAAGAAAAAAGGAAATGAAAATTAGCTTGTGAATCATGAAAGAATTCATTAGAGGGAGATTTTTTTTTTTTTTACTTTTTCTTTAAATAAATCCAAAATGGGAAGATTTCATTTCTTGTGTTATGGGTTTTGTATGTGTAGCTTTAGCTTGGCAGACTGATTTTTCAGGAGCTGAGAGAAAATTTTTTGTGTTGAAAAATGTTTTTTAAAATTATGTATCTTGTTTCTTTTATATTTATACTGCCCTTAACATATATTTTTATTTACAGTTATATCTAGCAAGTGACCATAAATCATTTATAAGATTTGCTAAAAAATCTTACCTTCACCAAATATTTTTGACAGATGAGCTTTCCTATTTGACTTGCTGGCAAGCTACCTTCTTGGACCCACAGCTGCGTCTTGAATATGAAGGATTTCCAGTTCCTGTAAGAAATTAAAACTGTAGAAAATGTTATGATGATTTAATTGAAACAGTAGATGGAGTACTTAGAAAAAAGTTGTGTCCATTTTACTCACATATTTTCCTTATGTAAGTTCTGACCTGTAATTTTAGGAAGGGGGAGAGGGAAGGAACAATCTCTTTAACCAGGGAATCTGCATACGTAACTATTAGGTTCTGGTGTTCATTTTGAGGTTGACTTGCTCAGTTTTTCTCATCAGAATTTTTTAAAGGTCGACATTATCGTGTTGTGAGGGTGCAGGACTTGAAATCTGCTTTTCAGGACTTCTGAGCACTAAATTCCATTTCCAATATTAGGAGCTGTGATTAATTGAGAACTCCCGTACATTAAATTTAAAAAGCATTAAAAAAAAACCTCCAAGGCACCTGAATAAGTGGATGCTTTTCCAAATGTGGTTTTGTAAATACATTAAGCAGGTGCAGTATTTTCCTGTTCCACATAACTTCTAGGCTTCCTGAAGTGCTGGGTGTATAGCAAAATATCACAAATACAACTGTTCCTCTACAGCCTTGAACTGTGACTCGTTTACATGAATCAGCTCACTAATAAACACAGTCAAAATTATGTAATTGTTAAAGACAACATTCTTTATTCACAGTATTGGTAAATGGGGGTGACTAAAAATTAATTCTGTTATACATAAAAAATTGCAAATTGGTAAAATACAAAGGTCCATTTCTAGGCTGTCTCTCCAAACCATCTGGATCTCTCATATGGCAAATATCAGTTATAAGCGGAACCACCCTGATGGCACAGGCCACTGGAATGACTCTCTACTACTTGCTTGGCTTTATTTTATTATATTTTATTATTTTTATTATATTTCATTATATTTTGTTTTATTTTATTTTATTTTTGAAGTGCCCAACACAAGGGAGTGGAATAGAATGTATTGGACAGGAGAATGTGTCTGACCTGATGGCTAAGCGTTTGGCTGGTCTGAGCTATTAAGACAGTTGTGTTGAGAACTGATAAGGTGTAAAATATCTCACTATCAATAATGTACAGCAGTCTCAGAGTGATACAGAGCAATGCAGGCTTACACTAAGCAGTAAATAAAAGCATTTAATTTGAATAAGAATAGTTAAAATTAGTGTAAAAATCTCTGTCAAGTGTCTTCCCTTGTTTTTTTTCCAGGCAAACTCTAAAATTATTATTACTCATTGCCATACTAACCGGAGCTTAGCCGTTCCAAGGAACTTTTGGACAAGGTAAGATTAATTTATAACTGGCAGGGATGTGCATAATGATGTGCCGACATCAAGAATTACTGTAAGAAGCAAGATAGTTGCTTTAGGAACGCACTGAGGCAATGGAAAAGAACACAGAATGCACATTCTCCTTTCCCTTATTTTATTTCTGGGCTGTAATGTGTGCCACTGGGATGCTGCAGACAATGAGCTCAGTCTTACTTGTTTTTTTTTCTTTTTAGGTCCTATCATATCATGCTTCTAGCCTTCTCTAGTTTCTTGGTGGTTCTCCCTTTGAATATCTTGAGCAATTACAGTTGCTTGGGGTTTTTTTGAAGAAAAAAATGGTATGCTAAGAAGCGTAAGGAGTAATACAACTAAATAAAAACACACTGCATAAAACTGTATGTTGCTTATGTCCATATGAATCAATCTCTCAACCAATTGAAGTTAATCCAACAATCCAAGTTAATATGCATATATTAAATTAATATCGATTAAGCATTGTTAAGTAGTATACCAATTGTTTCCCATTGAATTCAGAGCAAGATGTGACTGAGGATTTGTATCGGGTTTCTGAGGACGAAACAAGGTCTGAAAGTTTGAGGCTGAAACAGTGATTAAGTAGCCAGAGTCTTCCTCAGTCAGAGAGGAGTGGTAATGTGAATGGTGATGAGAACCTAACCAGCTTGTACATACTGAGTCAGTGTGTCGGTGCCTTATACTGATGGGGCTGCTTTAGCTCTGAAGCTAGAAAGGTGGCATTTCCCTTTGATTTCAAATTCCTGAATTATTCATAGGACACAAAGTGGGCTATTGTGTTTCTTGTAAGGGTCTGATATTTGAAAGTGCATGGTGAGATTTCTGAATAAGCCAAGAGAAACATGAGAAAACCTTGAACAATTTACAGATAATGCAGATTTGCTGAAGTTGTGTAGATATTAATTCCCCCTGCCCGTCCCCTTTTATTTGACTTTGCAGGTCTTATTTTGGAAAAGAATATGAAGTAATTTGTCACACTTACCTGGACTCCCATAAAGCTGAAGAAGATAAGAATTACTGGGTAATAGTTACAGGAAATCCCAGCGATGAGGACGGTACAATGATTGATAGACCCAACCCTCGCCCAGGCGGGACCAGAAAGAACGGGTTTCATGAAGAGACATAGAATACAAAAATCCCAGACTACAGCCGACAGAGGTTGATGAGATTCTAATTCTTGGTTTTTCTGTTCAGATTTTAGAGATGTTTGTTTTAAAAATGGAAATGAAAGTCTACCATTAGTAATATTGCATAATCTCATTAACTCATCAAGGTTATACAGTGGGCAAAAACCAATAAAATTTGATGAACCATGCACAACATCAAAAATTCATGAATCAGGAAGGGTTCATTTTCCCATTTTCATGTTCACTGATGGCAAAAGATGTCAGAATCCAGGAAATCTCATATATTTTCACAACGTTACTGGCCTTCAGAGTTTATTTAACCAATTCTTCCAAAACCAAACCAGTGTCACACTTTAAAAGGATGAGCGTACAGTTTCCAAAACTCTGAAAACCAAACTCATGAAAGCTGTCATGGGATACTTTGACATTTAAAGTTCATCTGAAAGAAACTTGGTTATTAAGCTTGTTCCACGCTCTGTCTAGCACAATGTTGCCAATTATTAAAAAAAATCACGTGAGGTCTCTTTATCTCGAGATTGGCCTCAGATTTATGGGAATTAATTAAAAAACCTTTGTCCATGTATTCTAAACATTTAAATGCCAAGTAATCAAGAACTTGAGCACAGTGATACAGACTAGAGACTTCCGACAGCCTTATCCATGCGTCACCATGTTCCGTTTGCCTCCCACCCTCAGAATTTTTCAATCCATAATCATTTCTACCAAGTTTGACAGCAAGGTAAAATGGTCAAAGAAAATTAAGCCCCCACAAGTTTCATGAAAATAAATGCCAAAGTAGGAAAAGAATAAGAGCCACTGTAAGTTTATCCAATAAGAAAAAGATTGTAGTCTATGTTCATACCTGATTAGACACCAGAGAATCCGCATGAAAAAAATGGCCCAAGAATGGTAAAAATTTCAGCTGGAACTCACATTTTCTTATACAACAAAATCAACCAAGCATGAGATGCAAAGACATGGAAAACAGATGTCATTACTTCATAGAGTTACCTGTCTTTATATGGAAGCTGAAACAGCACCGCAGAGAATCTTCTTAATGTATGCCGTTCCATTATATCCATTTAGTAAAGCTACATGTATACATATTCCATTTCTTACTGTACCACAAGAGCGGGCTCTTTCTGCACAAAGTAAGTGAATTTCTGAGTAAAATACTACATAAATCTCCATTCTCAAAAAGGATTCCAAAGATCTTCAATATTCAAAGGTCAAATAAAACTTTTTAAGTTTTACCAAAACAAACCCACTAAACTTTCACAGAAGAAGGGACCAATCCAAACACGTTGTGTCTTCAAGCTCTATCCCAGATAGACTGTCTGTTTCAAACCCACTGGCAAGGCTTTAAAAGTTCTTGCCTTTGTTCAATATAAATTAAATCAGCAGACTGCAGACTAGGCTAACTAGCACTCGGCATACAGGGTCTCAGCGCAGGAGACATTACGGTTCTGTGACATGCAGGTTTGCTTTGGGGGAGTGTATCACAGAAGACAGTTTTTGAATCGCACTCCTCGTGCAAACATTCACAGATGTGTTGTAGATGGGGTATTATAGAGGAACTTATCTTCAGGAACTTTTTCTTCCACTTTTTGTTTCACTTTCTATGTAAAGATAGGAAACCTGGCATGTGGCAAATGATGCATGTTTTTATAGAGGCACTGTTGTTACTCCAACTTACAGAGATTAAAATTCTGCACATTTTCACAATAGATTGATGTAATTCTGCTTTGATTTTGTAGGTATTAAACTAGAAAAACTTAGGCTGCGCGAGTGCACTGCAGCGTTTCTACGTTGACCACTGTGGACATTTATTGGTGATAGCTATTTCGAATCTGGCAAAGTCTCTTTCCTCTTGGTTAAATGTAAGAAGCAAGAAGAGGCCTTAAACCAAAACCATTGCTGAAACAAAGCTTTGTGTGAACTCATGCAGGAATGAGAACTGTGTGGGCAGAGTGCCTTGGCCGGCTAGCGTTATGGATAGGAGTGTTTGTGTGAGCGTGTGTGCGTTTGTGTGGGAGAGAAGCAACGCAGCCTGTACGAAAACAAGTTTTGTAAAGTCCTAGAGGAAACCCAAAGAGATAAACAGATACAGAAATGAGTACAGAAGCAGGTAATGTTGGAATTAGGTGCTGATTAAAAGTGGCTTGGAGACTCTTGTGTGTGTTTTGATCGGTCTGTGCTCATGGGAAAGGACTTCCTGAGCTGCTGGAAAATAAACAGGACTGAATCAACAATTCCTGATTCCATTATCAGCTTTTCTTCTTACCTAATACAGTTTTAAAACCACAGACTTATGCATAGCTTCTTATATAATATAATACATATTTATAATTCAGCTGATTTGTGATATCGAATACAGATATTTATCTGTTACCTAGTTTTTCTTTTAAAAACTGTTTTTTACACTTCTTAATATTGTCCACACGATGGCACCACATTTTTCTAAACAGCACAATTATTGCTACGTATGTAAAACAACCTGAAACGTTTAAATCCAAATGAGTCCCTGATACAATGCCACAAAAGCTAACCAAGTTAAATCAGGCTTGAATTCTGGGCTAGGAGATGTCGTTAATGTTTTATCATGTTTTTGGAAAATAAAGCTAAGCAACAAAGGTAGATAGAAGAACATAGAACACTGTGTATTGCATACAATCAACTTCTTAAAGCTAATTGCAATATTAATTGATTTGTAACCAAAACATACTTAGAGGAAATTATCTTTAGGAGCTTTTTCTTTCACTTTCTATGTAGAGATATGAAACCTGATGTGTGACAACCAGTGCATGTTTTTATAGGGGCACCGTTATTACTTAGTCCAATTTATAGATATTACAATTCTGCACATTTTCACAATAGATTGACATAATTCTGCTTTGATTTTGTAGGTATTAAACTAGAAAAACTTAGGCTGCGTAGAATGCACTGCAGTCTTTCTAGTTTGGCCACTGTGGACATTTATTGATAAACACAGGATTTAACAATAAAGAATTATGGGACTGAATATTAGCACAGAATCTGAACAATCCTGCAGCTGCCAGTTAGAGACACCATACGGTCTAGTGGGTGGGGTAATGGAGATCCGAACCATGCTCCAGACCTGAGCATTGTGTAGCCAATGGCAGGCGCTGTATTTCGCTTGTCCTAGTACTGCGTGTCATGAAATATGGGCAGCGATGCTTGCCTCGTTTGCAAAGCACTTTGACACATATACCAATGAAAAGCAAAATCACGTGTTAAGAAAGCTTTTAATGCTTCTTCCAAATTAGACCCAATATGGATAGCTCTACAACGTACATTATGGGAAGATAAAACTCACTCTGCCTCCATTCCAGGCAGCTCAAAAGCTGTTAGCATGAAGCTGATCCTGAGCTATTAGTCCTTGCTGAGGGACAGGGTGCATTAGTTCAGATTCAGTGCTGTGCTAGTGTAGCTTTTCATAGGCCTGAGGCACAGAGAGAACTCACATCTGTGCATGTTTTGCTGTGCAGATGTGTGTTAGCAGCACGATATTGAAGTAAAGAAGAGGTACAGAGAATTCAAAAAGTCAGCAAAGAAAAGCGTCATCCTTCTAGTAAGCTCACACACTGGTAACACTGGAAAATGAAAATCCAGTTTTAAATCTGCCTTTTCACTTTCCCTTTCTTTTGCTTCCCCAACTCATATTTCACATCACATCACTTCTCTTGTGCCATGTCATCTAGCCCAAACTTACTGATTTGTCGTGGTTATAAAGTGTTCCTCTAGCCCTCAGCACAAGTCCCTGGCCCCTCACCCTAATCACACCAGTATCTTCAGAGGCTGCTTTTCTTTTCAGTGGTTGTCATGAAGTATTGTTTTAGCTCAGGCAGCTGATCAGAGGAGGAGGCCATATGCAGGTTTAGTAACTGGATAAAACATCTGAGGGGGAAAAAAAAAAGCAAAAAAAAAAGCACAGAGAACATTACAATAAGAAATTCCACACAGCAGTGGAAGAAAATATCCAAGCACTGGAAAATCTGGTGGAGTTGGCAGGTAAGAGGGTGATTTTGATAACATCTGTGCCCACTCACCCTAAATTAATATTGCTGGTCTGTTGTAATTTCGGGGGGGGGGAATGTTCTTTTAAAAACATAGTTGTTGCTTTAGAAACACTTAAGACTTTTTAATGCATGAAAACTAAACTAGGGGGGCCACAACATAAAAATACAGATGTGAAATGCAAAATACGTTGAATACTAGTGAAAATTAGGAAATCTCTAGGTCATTTTGTCAGCTACACCTCTCTTCTAATTCTGTTCTGTTTTAGGCTTTGTTCCAGGTCGTGCCTCCATTCTGTGCCTGACCTGCCATTTTTCCCTGCCTGTATACAGTACAGAGAGGGGCAAGTCACAGTTTGCTAGCTCCCCTCTTCATGCTGGTTTGACTTCATCCTGGAGGCCGTAAAAGGGAATCTAATCCTCAGTGCTGCATTCCCTTGGGTAAGAGGAGGAGTGGAAAGACCTGTCACCTTGCTGGATGTGTGCTATTTCAGCAGGGACATGAGCAGCCATAATAGCGTCAACTGCATGATTTGCTTGATAGGTTAGCATTACTTATAAAGAGAGGGACAACTTGCCATAAAGACCAAGGGAGACCCGCCCATTTTGGTTTGTTTGGTTTTGGGTTTTTTTTGTCAACACTGCGTATGTAAGTGTCAACAATTGACACTTTTCTTCATTTTTTTCACTGGTGGGCTTGTGCAAAGCAATGTCTTTCATGCGAGAGAACAGAATCATCAGTACTGCACTAGAAAGCATTGCTACACCAGAGTCACTTAGCTTTCTCTCAAGAAGTTTCTATATTTTTTGGCAAGGAGGGCTCAAAGCGCAGTAGAATAGGCACAAACATTAAAAAATGCCTGATGACGTTAACACCCACATTCGATGATGAAATTAATTCATACACATGCACCTCTGCTGTATGTTTATACGAGAAGCTCAGAGCTAATTTCCCAACATCT